ACAGCAGCAGTTTAGTCTGACAGAGTATGGTAACATTGTTACCTACTGTAGACGAGAAATTTAGCCAGTGTCTTGTGGATGGTTGTCATCTTCGTGACCAAAAAAAACAATAAAAATAAAATTGTCCTACATTCAACACACGTGTGTTTAATGTAAAGGTTATTATAGCAATTAAATAGATTGTCGTTTCAAAAGTGACAGTAACTCATTGAAATTAAAGAGTAGTGTGAGCTGGTTTTTTGAAATTTGCCTGTGATGCAGAGCAAATACGCACTGTTGGCTTATCACCATCAAGCATAAACGACAAGCGGAGGCAGAGTAGATGTGTGAAGGAAAAGCGAGCATATGTACTAAAGAAAGAACTGCTACGTAACGTGAAGAATGTCAGCAACTATCTTGCCATTGTGGTACGAGCTCAGTGGCTATGCACATGCTTATAGCAGCCTGTGAATGTAGGATGCTCCCCTTATGTGGCAAAGCCAGGGGGGGGGGGGGGGGGGGGGGGGGCGAGGGGGGGGAGTTTATGGGGCTTCGCTCCTTCCCTCCCCAAATCCGGCGGGCCCTAGTATATACACACAAATTCCGACACCATCCCCCCCGCACCCCAAGTCATGAATATCCCAGCCACCTCAACCCCCCTCCATCCTCACCCCCTTAGAAGTTCCTGGCTACGCCACTACTATCAACAGCACTCAATAGATAGTCAACATTATCAAGATGAACGAAATTTCTTTTATTTTATGCACCATATAGGCAGTGTTTTTGTCTTTATATGCATGCAGCCAAAGCACACACTGTAGAAAACACTTGTGTGAAGCCTGCGTTCACAATGCGGTCCCCGTCAAACTTTCAAGGCGTTAACGAATTCCACAAATTAAATTTTCAACGAAACGAATTCGTTTTGCAAAACGCTGGCAAACCTACGTTGCGTTTTACATCATTCACCTTTGTCGTCCGATGAATCAGTAGTCAGCACTACACAAACCTCAATGAGCTTGTCGTTTGTTTTCTTGCCGTTGGGGCGATCGCTGGCGGTCGTGGCGGTGGCACAATTCTTTCTCAGACCGTTGGCTGCTGCCTCCGTGCTCGCGGAAACGTGGTTCCCTTTGTGTCAAGGTGAGGTTTTGAATCTTAATGCACGGCAACGCTGAATAAAGGTCTATTACCTTCTTCATAATCTCAGCAACGCTACCGTACGAGCCACAACAACACCACCACTTTTAAGCTTCATAACACCGGCACAAATAAGAAGCCAAGTCTTGCATCTCGCCAAGCGTTACATCGGAGACGGTAAACGCCAGCTCACTGTGCTCTTCGAACCGGTCCTGCCGCCGAATGGGCTCATCCAACAGCACGAAAGTATTCGTGTGCGCGTTGATCAAGTGACCGATCGCATGTCCAACCCCAGCCGCGGTCGATCCGACGAGCATCGCGGCCATGTTCTTTCGAGTTTAACTCGCCAAGGGTACCGTGGTCGAGTTAAAACAATGCAAATAGTCCCGTGCATTCTTGTTCTTACGTCATTTTGTCGTCACAACCCGAACTCGAAAAATGACTGTTAGCGGCAAACAGAGGCTTTCTAGTTTCACGAACGTTTCCATGGCAAATGGCGTTCAGGGTTGCCACTGGGTTTTGAGTCAAAGTAGCCAAATCACGTACAGAAAGTAGCCAAAAATAGCCATTCTATTCGAGATTTCGCCAAAAAAGTCGCCACACCAAATATGTACAAGAAAACGGTATTAAAAAAAAAAAAAAGAAGTAGCGAACACTATATAGGAATCTTCAGTTTATTGCACACACGTGCCGGCCGTATAGGAGTTTACAAGCGTGACGGTGAAGCACTTCAAACTCATATCAAACACTGCAGCAAAGTGCTAGTAGATGCTGCTGGCCCCAGAATGATTTGCAGTCATTTTCTGGAGCATTTTATCTGGGATCATGTATGTAGATGATGTTTTCCGCTGCAGTCGGTGGCCACACTTAATTCTTAGGATGGACTCCAGAAGTTAAAGCTTCATCTCATTGCGAAGTTCCGTTTTAGTCAGCGCTACATGGGAGAATACCCTCTCTGCTTCGGCATTTGAGACTGGAAGCGTCAGAATCTTTACGGCGCTTGCGGTTACTCCTGGAAAAGGGCATATAGCGGCAGCATCCCTGAAAACCAGTGCTTGGTACCAAACGCTGAACACAGGACTCGTCTCGTTCGTTGCAAAAGCAGACCACAGTAGTCGGATCACCGCTTCCAGCTCATTCCTAAAGGTGCTGAAAAGGTGAGAAGGCAAACTGAAAATTTCCCAGCAAGCATTGGGCCCCATTTCAACCTCCGGGCTGATTGCTTGAAACCTGCAGTGTGCAGATGTTGTGTTAAGAGTGCGCGTTTGCAGTTGACTAGCCATTTTATTTAAAACCAAAGCATCATTCCCGAGTGCGAAGTTGCTCTTGGGCAGGCAGTCCGCTAGTAGCAAGCAATTCTGAAAATGCTTCCCCAAGGTCAGCTTGTGCAGAATCCAGGTAAATGCTCCCCGTTTCCAGCGTTTAAAATTTGCAGGACGAGCTTGCTTTGGCCTGGAAACGTGTCTGTGCGATACTGCTGAGAGCCGCAACGAGCCGCCAAAAGTAGCCAGAAAATCGCCAGATCGCCAAGCGTAATTTTTGGTAGCCAAGCGCCCCCAAAAGTAGCCAATTTGGCGAAAAGTAGCCACCAGTGGCAACCCTGATGGCGTTGAATCGTCACGCGCAATGAAGCCAATGGGAAAGCGAGGTACCTATGTAGGGACGTGGAAAAACGTAAAGGCCGTTTTTTTTTTTTTTTTTCACGAGCTATTCTGCAAATAAAAATAAATAAAAAAGACTGCCCGAGATTATGCCGTCGCGTGCATTTCTTCAGCGCCGAAAGAGAAGAGCATGTCTTATGGAGACTATACCGGCATAATCACTGCAGTGAGCAAAGGAGCAAAGCATTATTAAAACTGCCCGAAGAAACTTTCCTGCATCATCCACAGGATGCTCACAACCGTTGCACTCTGCGTCGATCTCATGACTTGTCATATACTACCACAGAGTCGTCGTCAGCTCTGTATCCATTTGAAGTCTCCTTCACAGGCAAACAGGAAATTTCATTTGCAGCTTATGTTCACGGCGGCTTCACAAAGGATGATCGGTGTCGCAGCGCACCTTCACATAATATTTGTTTTTCTCGTAATGCCATCCGTATCGTGCAGAAGCAGGGAAAGCAACGACGCAAACGAGACACAAACACCACAAGGTCGTTACCACGGTTTTCGCCATGTTTGTTTTCAAAGACCGTAGCGAAGGACTTCGAGAAAACAAGCTGAGATATCTTAGCTAAATTTACTTTACATCATAATTATTGAAATAATCTTTTGTATTTTATAAAAGGATAATGTTATTTTTTTCTGTTTCCTTCCATTTTCCGGAAGGTAGCCTTTCCTCCGTGATTCGCTCGTTCTAATTCCCGGAGGAAAAAAAGAAGAGAACAAAAAGAACAGGGGGAAATGCGGGGAATTCTTCGCCCCAACTGCGTGGACACATCATCGTGACGTGGGCATCGTCAGATTCTAGCTGACCGCGTGCGTGAACCCGAACGTTGGGGCGGAGCCTCAAACAAGAATCATTCTAGTTTGAGGCTCCGCCCCTTCTTTCTCGATACGTCACAACTCGAAAGGTACCCGTTTGCGACCAGAATAGCACCCCTGGTTTCGAATCTGGCGGATAGTTTCTTATCGAGGTCTTCCTTTAAACGTCGCGACGTGCTTAACGCCGTTTTTAGAGCGCAGCTCTTAGGGGCCCGTTTCCAGCCTGAGCGGCGTCGCCGTTGGCGTCGGCGTCGCCGTCGGCGTCGGCGTCGCCGTCGCCGTCGCCGTCGGCGTAACCGCGCCCCTCCCTCTCCTCCTCCTCCCTCTCCTTCTCCCCCTCCTCCTCCTCCCCCTTCTCCCCTCCCCTCCTCCTCCGTCGGCGTCGGCGTAACCGCGCCCCTCCCTCTCCTTCTCCCCTCCTCCTCCTCCCCCTTCTCCCCTCCCCTCCTCCTCCTCCCCCTCTTCCTCCCCCTCCTCCTCCCCTCATTGTCCGGCTTGAGCGGCAAGGAGGAAAGCAGTGCGAAGGTGGAGGAGGGGGGAGGAGAGACGAGGAGCCGGAGGCGAGGGGGGGGAGGAGCTTGAAGGACGAGGAGGTGGTAAAGGAGAGGGAGTGGGAGCGGGAGGCGAGGAGGACTGGCAGGCATGATCACGAGGGAGGAGGAGGAATATACCCTCCACTCCTCCTCCTCAAGAGCTGCGCTCCAATTCGGCGTTACAGGAAGTTGTAAACGGCTTTCACTTTTTTAAACACGAAACGATAGCACACTATCGCCAAGATGTCCAATGGGAGGAGCCGCAAGGTTGCAAAGCCAGAGGACCCCCCCCATCGGCTGTGACAAAAGCGGGAGATGGGCATATCTTTCAGAGAGCAATTTCAAGAACACCCAAGAGACTGAAAATGTCGACTTCGTCTGCAGAATATGCAAGATGATTGAGGAGGTGGACACTAAACACAGAAACAAGAATGAGGAACTGAAAAGACCATGACTGACATGATTAAAAGTTGGGAAGACACCAACACTGCAGGTGCCGTGGATCCAAACGACATGGTGCATGCACTCCTAGGCCGGGTGGATAAATTAGAGCATTGCATCAGTTTGTGAAGCGAATGTCGTCCAGTCAAACTGACAAGGTAACTCCTGACAACAATGGAGGATCCTCCAGTGCACGAAGTGAGCAAGGAAATGGAAAAATACCTAACCAGATTGACTATCAGCGACATGCGTCTGTGATATCCTAGTGGTACCCCGTTTACTGGGACCTACGACGGCGGAGCAGGAGCACATCTTCAACATGAAAATGGCATGACGCAGGTACAAAAAGAGAAGCAAGAGGCAACCACATTTTTTCACTACTGCTTGGGTTCGACTGTGGTACATTCTAAAAGAAAAAACAAAACAGTGGTCAAGGTCCACAATGGCAATCTTTATTTGATGAGCTTCACAACGTTCTCCAGAATCCTTAGGTGCAAACGGGACCCTGCCTCCCCCTCCACTCCCAAGCGGGCCAGACTCCCAATACACACCGTCGCCGGGCCACCAATCCCAGGGGTTTGCAAACACACACACACGCTTGCACATTGCGTTGGACACACAAAGAGAGAAAACGTCCGCTTTTTGTCAGGGGAACGAAAAAGGTACTTGAGAGCACCTCGTGAAAAGGGGATGATTGGGACACTGGGCGACAAGCGTGCGTACACGAGGGGGGGAAAGCTGGAAATGGGGGGCTCTAGCCCGGGGTACGAGAAGCTAGCGGCCGCTAGGGTGCAGCTAGTGCGAGTGCAGACACGACTCTGGGCCAGCCAGTGCGAAGGCGACCCCGCCCCCTTGACGTCACTCAGGCCTTGGCCGCCGGCTCCGCCACTTTGGCCTGCTCCTCCTTCTTGTCCTTCTTCCCGTCGGCCCCTGCACAGACGGAGCGGGACGTGAGCCGAGAGAGGACGAACTGGAGACAGACTCACGTGCCCAAAAAGCCGTTAAACCACCCCCTACGTTACGCAGCCTGCCTTCTGCAGATAGAGGTGGGAACTTCAGAGCCGCAGTTACACTCCTCATACATCACATAAAAGAGTCAGGGATGGGTTTCTTCCTATAGTTCAGTGGTTTTAAATTCATTTGAGTGTGGGGGCCAATGTAAGATGGGTGGAGGGTTCAAAAGATTTCAAAGTGAAGAGACCTCATATGCTTTCTGTAAACTTGCAGTTTAGCCAGTGACATCCTTATATGAAAGCTTTATCTCTGACAGTTGCTCCTGCTGATCAAGTTCGTGCAGCCGAGATGCATCCTTGAACAAATAGCTTGTGCTTGCAGCCTTGGAATTGTTCTACATTACAAAAAGCCAGGAAGCAATTAATAAAGAAACAAAGTGCAAATAGACACAGATAAGTATACAACTACTCATGTTTACAAACAAACCGGAGCGCCCCTAGCGGACGCCACCGGCGCTGCGCATGTGCCATGGAGTGAGGGCAAGAAGCTCGCTATCGCCCATAAACAAACCACTGAAATGCGATGTTGTCGGCATCTGTGCGAGTCCCCCTGCCCTTTTTCGCGTCCAAAATGTTGATTCTACGTCTTCCTGGTAACGTCCGACTACTTCAGCGGCCTCAGCGAAATTATCGAGGCTCCTTACACCGCAAAACTTCGCATGAATAATGTGACATGCGACGATTCATTCTGCGTGGACGACGCAGAATGGACGCTAAAGTCTAATTCGCATGGTGAGATTTCGCTCGCAAATTTCAGTCGAGACAAGACGTTCCTTGGGACGCAAATGCGTGAACCGTAGCTGAGATAGTCGACATCGATACTGAAGATCACAAGCAGAATCGGACGGACCAGGTGAATCCGGCATAACTAGTCGGTGATGGCCACTGGTAACAATGATCGTCATCTCCTTGCATCTACTGTTTGCATCGAGCCCGCTTACCAACCTTAAAACTTTACTCTTTTGAGGCCTGCACTTCTTATCGCAAGTACTGGGCCAACATTTGGTCTACGGGCCGGTGTCGTCTAAAAGAGCAGACGACAGTTCAAACAATCAGGCGGCCGTTTGAACTTGAAGACGCACTAAACATAGTCCGCAGGTGATCCGTACAACTTGACGGTACAATGCATGAATACACGTCTCAAATGGGGACATCCGCCCACAGCCCCAGAACTGAAGTGCGGCCGACGCGCCACCACCGCGCCGTGACGTAACAGAGTTGAGTTTGTGTATAAACTATGTGAATAAGTGAAAAGAGCAGAGCTACTTTTCGAGCGAAAATGAATCGACGAGTTGAGATTACTATGGTGCATGCCATTTCTAGCGTTCAGAGGCGTGAAAACCGGTACTTATAGCCGGTTGCCTGCGGGCCGCCTCCCCAGCAAGTCGCGGGCCGCGCGTTTCAGACCCCTGCTATAGTTGGTTACAGGTTAAAAAGAGTTGGCAAGAGAGAAGAGGGCTGGGAAACCCACCCTCGGCCTCGTTGGCCTCCCCGTCGCGCCTGCGCTTGCGGTTCATCAGGTTGCGGGCAAACTTGGGAGGGGGCAGCGGGTCCATGCCCAGCACCTTGTGGATCTGGCGGAAGGCCACCAGGCGCAGGGCGTGCTGCAACGAAGGGCACACAGTCACGAAATGGAAAAACCTCTACGGTCAGGACTTCAAATCAAAACATTCTACGGCTAGGTGTTCAGCATTTTATTGTATCAATATTCCAGAAAAAAGTAGGGGTGTAAACATGGTACACAAACTATTTGATGAGGCAAGCCGTGAACCTAACCTAACCTAAAAAAATGACACAATAATTTTTTTTTTTTTTTTTTGAAGTGATAGGCAAAACTTGGCAGAGATTTGGAGCTCGTGGACTGTCGCCATCGCTATAGAAAAACGCTTCTCTCCCCTCTTGCCACGAGGAGAGGGAAGCTGGGATTTCCCGTCTGCCGTTCTGCACAATGTGTGCAAAGGGCAGCCCTGGCGTCCCAAGAAGAATTGCGCGACGAAGGGAGCCTCATCGTGTCGTCTGCTTGAAAGACTTGTTTCTAAACATTCTTTGCGTTATGCAAAATCACACTTTGGCAGTATCCAGTAGCTATGCGTAATGTTGTATGGTTTTAGAAGCTTCCACCAGGCTTACTTCACAAATCACTGGTGGCACCCGTCAGTAGCATCCACGACGGCTATGACAATTAAACGTCGGACCTCTGTCCTTGGGTATGTGACGGCACCATTCCACCCGCATTGCACAACAATGCTACGGCTATCGTTTTGGTTTCTTCGCACAATGCGGACAAAAAATAACTTTTTTTTATCAGACATGGTAATATTTTACACATTTACTGAATAAATGCAATAATGACTAAGAGGAGCTGAATTTGAATGTTTAATCAGTTAAGCAATTAAAGAAAAATGAAAGCGCTCGTTTGCCAGCTTTTCCGGGGTCGAGAAGACACGCCCCCCAAATAGGCTCCGGAAAGAGACAAATACGCGCCCTTAACTGGTAAACCGCTACATAATACAGGAATGCGGTAAACGCTCAACCAGAGTTTTGCAGTCGCTAAGACGTTGGGTGGCAGGTACCCGTCACGGGGGTGCCTACCTGAGCGCTGGCCGTGATGTCCTCGCGTGCCTGGTCTGTCAGGCCGGCCAGCGCATCCACAGGCTCCCTCTCGCAGGGGTCCACCAGGCCCGGACTACCTGCAAGCGCGGTCAACACCTAGCCGTCAACGACAGTCTGCGCCTCCCTTTTCCCCCCCTTCACCGGGCGGCAGCAGAGGCAGCGAGTCACAACAGCTCCGCGACAGTCCCAAACAATGAAAAAGAAGCAGAAAATCCCGTAGACTGTTGAAGCAACTCCCTATAAATATGTGCTTATTCATCTAAGCAGTGCAGCCGCACTAGTTCGTCCCCGACTCGTGTCAATCTTTGTTTCAGCTGTACAGACTCCCATGTCAACTTTTTATCATAGAATGAACTTCTTATAGCAGGGGTGGAAGCAAGCTTCAGCCCTTTGGAGCAGGTCTGGGAGCAGCAAAAATGCCCCCTTGGAGCACCTTTGGAGCAGTAAAAGCTCAACTTTGGAGCAGCTCAGGAGCAACAAAAATCAAGTTTCGTAGCAGTATAAGCAAATCTTGGAGCTGCTTGGTGCCATAAGCACAGATGTGTTTTTCGAAATCCAAAAAGAAATATAAATAAAAAAGAATCTCCATGCGACGTTCCAGAACCATTTCCAAACCTGACCTTTCCTTAAATATATAAAGATATTTGAATGGCTGCCATTGAGAACTGCCCTGGTGGTAGCGGGTTGGTTCCTCTCATAGATTTACAATACAGTGTAGACCGCATATAACGTATGTCGCAAGAGTCCCGAAAATCCGCACTATAACCAAAACATCAATTTTTCAGGCCAAAATACATGCCATGAGACAACTTACCTTTGTAAAAGAATTTATTTTATATTAGATGAATAATAAAGCTTAGTTTGAGGAAAGTCTATTTCACCAGACTAGTACACTTCTCTCTCAAGTGTGTCACATATTTTGAAAGAAATGAGCGACTTGCCTGGCGCAGCCTTTTAACGGCGTCGCGGGTTGCGGAAGGACGTTGCGAGCATTCAGGATTGCTAACCCTAATCACTTTTCTCTGGAGATGAAAATGCGTGAAAATTCGCACCCTTTATACGGTACGCGCATGAAATTCTCCAAATAAGGCATGAAATGCCTTACTTGCATGAAATGCTCCAAATAAGAAATGCGGGCGATGTTCGAAAATACAAATGCTTAGAAAGCACCACTATAGTCGAAGTAAACAGACACGACGACACTGGTGTTTTGGCTGTCTTGAGAGTGCCGCTACGACATCGCCGCACGAGTAAGTGAATCTTTCCTTCCAGTACGTGCTGGGTTATCATAGCGACACACAACGAAAATTCAGTCAAGGATAGCGCTTTTACGCGGAACGATGAGCTTTCACTGCGCCGTCCACGTCGACGATCACCACCGACGCCATGTTTGCGGATAGAAGAAGCCGGCCTGCGACCGCAACGCACGCGAACACTTCTCGACCTGCGATTGGTCTGTCGTTGCGGTTGTTTCCAACGCAGCGGGGGAAAGTTGGGCTGGTTGGGCTCGCTCCAACCAATACCACCTATTCCAACGCCTTGCGTCGTGAACGACACAAGCGTGCGTCCCTCCGTTGCTATGGCAACTGAAGCCTCTGTCTTCGCCTCTCCCCGCTCCTTCGAGCAACCTCCATGCCATCCTTGCCCCCGTGAGTGCCACTTGCGGCTAGCGCCGTTATCTAGTGTCGCACAGGGAAGCGTGCTCGCTGCGCCTGTCGGTCGGCGGGCTGTTTCAGAAACCGCACTATAACCGGTATTTCCCTTCGCGCGCCTGCATTTTAAGCGGTATGTAATTACATGGAGTTCTATAGGGGGCGAACCGGTGGTTTAAAAACCAGCGTTATACCCCGTCCTGCGCTATAAGCGGTTACAATGTAAGTGGTCTATACTGTAATAGGCATAATCGAACTCATTGGATGCGTGAGTTACAACGCCAAAAGGCGATCCTGAATTTTCTGCCGGAGTCCACTGGGAGGTTCGGGATTCATTTATTTATCTATAGCGCCACATTCATTATGTTCGCCCCACTTCACAACCACACAAGCCCCCAACCCGTCTTTGGGCGTACCACCCATAAACTAAGATTCTCATTCTCGTGCAAAAGTATGTGTTTTCAATCACTCACTCACCTGGCAGCAGAATGCCTCCGGCCACGGCTTCCAGCACGCGCCGCAGGGCGTCTCCAGGGGGCATGGGCTGCCCTGCACTGCTCAGCACCTTCTCCACCAGCAGCTCCAGGGCCTGCACAGCACAGCCTTCTCACGCACTTGCCCTCACAAGCACGTCTCCCTGATCATGTCCCCGAAACACGTTACTATAAAATGTCCACTCAAACACCTCGCCCCGATAACGGTGTCCCTACAAAGGTGCCCTGATATACATGTCCTACAAATATGCCCTCCCAAAAATGTCTCCAGAAACATGCCCTCACAAGCCCCAATAAACATACCCTCACAAATATGGTCTCGAAAACATTGTACCCACTACATGCCGACAATCATGCCCTAAGACACATTCCCACAAACATGCCCCGATAAAGGTGTAGACAGAAGAGCTCTAACCAAAAACCAAAAAACGGTTCAATCCGACATTTCAAAACCTGCTCGGTTTCTTCATCAGGGATGACTACATCGTGAGGAACAGCAGTTTTCATCATCTTCTTAGTTGTTTTCCGCCTCAAATTTTCTTCCTTCTTTTACACAGATGGTTTCTTGTTTGCTGCCGTCGTCAGTTAGTGCAATCCATGGACATACACCGTTGGCGAAGCCCTGGGGGCCTGTTTATGTTTCCCGGTGTGTGTTGTACAGTAAAACCTCGTTATAACAAAGTTGAAGGAGTGGTCGTAATTATTTCGTTATAACCATTAGTTTGTTATAGCCAATGTCCATTTCTCCCCACTATTAGCAAGCAAGGGGAATTATAATTGCTTTGTTATATCCATTAGTTTGTTATATCCCGTTTTGTTATAACGAGGTTTTACTGTATGTGCCAAGATTCCAGGGAAAGCCTTTTTTGGCTCTAAATCTTTAGATGGCAGAAATTTCATAGAGGGACTCATAAGTCACCACTTTGTACTTGTCAGTTCTCTGTTAAAGGGACCATGAATTCTGAAATCAAATTTCATACACCGATCGTCGTAAAAGGTGTGAAAAGAAACCAAAATAGGGAGCCAAAAAAATTTCTTCACTATAGAACTTTTAAAAGAAAATCGGCTGTCGAACGGAAATGGAGGCGTAACCTAAAACAAGGCACGCAGGCGTAACCTGAACCAAGGTACTATTTACGGCTTTTTTAAGCCCACTTGGAAGTAATAAAGGCAAGTTTTTCAATCTGCTGATTTTTCGGACTGCTCCATTATTCGGACGTTTTTTCGGTCCCAGCGAAGTCCGAATAATTGGTCGGCGACTGTACTCTAGATGTTGGTGGATGTAAATATGGCATCTTCCAGAGATATTTTTTTTTCTTCTGGGTAGTAACATCGCCGAAACTGAAACAAATCAAGAATTACGATGTGGTCAAAGAACCAATTTATCTGCCCTTGACGTGCGAGTGACGGTGCACAACGAAATGGTCTCATGGCCACCATTAGCCTGTCCAAAGTGAAACAGCTTTCACAGTCACCAGATGTCCCTCCCCCGTCCGGCCGACTCACCCAGGCGTTGAGGGTGCTCCAGGTGGGCACGCGCTGACACAAGTCTCGCAGGATGCGGATCACCATGACGCACGATTGCAGGCTGCTGGCCCTAGCCTGGATACCCCAATGCCCAAGGGGAAAGAAGAGGAAGGAAAGTACCCGGGCAGGGGCTTGGGTCAGCCGCCGCCGGTTCCGACGTTCTCTCCCACACAACACACCACACTCTCTTTTTTTTTTTTTTTTCTTTTGCAAAGACAACGCCGGCTGTTCTTTTTTTCTTTTCTTTTTTTCTTCAGTGCTCTTTGGCTTCCCCTTTAAAAGGCGACACATCCCCGCCCACCCTTTAGACTTCCCCGGTGCCGGGGCCGTCTTGGGCCGGACGATCTGTCATTTTGTTGGCGACTAAAATGCGAAGTCGATTAGGCGGCCACCCGTATCGGACAAAACTGCAATGCGTTTACAATCGCAGCCGCAACTATGTGTGCTACCTGTCGTAACCTCCCTGTGGTCTAGTAAACTTAACTTCAACTTGTCCCCACCAACCCTCTAAACTACCCCGACAGACTAGCCCTCCTGCCCAACCACAGTCCCGAGAGGACTGTGCGCCACGATGCTGTCAAGTTTCCCAAGAGCGTCCGCACCACATCTCCACGCCTCGACAGTTTTCTTCGCAAGTAACTCTGAAGAGAAAAATGTAACCCCAACTTGTTAGTGGGTATTGCATTAATTAGACGGCTTTAGCACCGACGCGTCTCACAAATCAGACTTCTCGTCGTTATGAGCAAACGTTAGCAGGGTGCCGTGAAACACCGTGAGCGAAAGAAACCGTAAACGAACGCGACGGACGGGCCCCGGCACCTCCCCACGCGAGCCTCAGGTGTCAAACTTTCCAGCCCCATGTTTTCTGTTTCCCTTCAGAGGTGAGCACATTTCCCGTCATGGGCACAAAGTGAGAGTGAAAGAGAGAGAGAGCGGTACAAGGCGTCACAGACATAAGGCTGAAAAGGCTTCCCAACCTGGAACCACTTGGCATGGCGCAAGGCGGCTAGAGCGTCCAGGCATTTCTGCCTGCCCAGAACATCCGGCGGGTCTTTTGCACTGGCTAGGAACCAGGCGGCAAAGGAGGGAGAGAGAGAGAGGGGAAGGGGGCACACGGCCCCCGTTAGTGCAGGGAACGGGTGTTTGACCCCCGCTGTCAACCCCCCGCAAGCACCCCTGGGGAATGCCCCAGCCCCAGGCAGGCCCCGTGCGAACCCCCAGCGTAACTCCTTAGAGAATGAACAAGGACTTTGCGAAACGGGCGTGCCTGGCGGTGGGGCGTCCCCCCCAAAAACCCAGACGATGCGGGGGGTCAAAAATCCTTCCGACCGAGCATCCAATCACGGCCCCCGCCCACTTTTCCCCCACCCGCTTCCACCGTCTCCTCAGCCACTTCTCGTCCGTCGCCGCCAACTGGTTGCTGCCAACCTCCGTCACCAGTGACCACAACAGACTCCCCCCCGCCCCAGGGGCGGCGTGCCGCACCACAGGCTCTGGAGTAGCCGAGGTGGCGCAGCACCCGCCGCCCGCTTCCCCGAGCTCGTAGAAACCTCTCGATGGCGCGCTCTCCGGCACGAGCTTCTTCTCTGTTCCCGAGAGCTCGTCGAGCGTCTCCAGACGTAAAGAGCGATGGGACAAGAAGGTCCCAAAGCACCGAGCATCCGAGTTTAGGAAGGCCGCAGAGATCAAAGCCACCTGCACGTTTGCAGCACAGGTGGGAAGAGGAGCCATCCCTTTCTCTGACCACTGAGACATGTTCTCTTGGGCAATGACCGGTTCGTGCAATTGAGCAACCGAGGCAACAAGCTAGTTCCACTTTCGGCATCCACTTTTTTTGCACGATGCTGTCGAGGCTATATACTGCAATGCGACGTGTGCACATGCAGCACGGCACTGCGACACCGAGTCGACGGAAAATCAGATCTTTAGTCCGGTGTCCAGGCTGGCGATGTTCAACGTGTTCCGAGTGTGCCAATGCAGGAATAGAATGCATTTTACATCTTTGCTGGAGCCATGCTGACAAAGTTAGTACGCATTCTACCTCTGCACCAGCGCTGTGCAGACAGATACCACATAGTAGTGTCGTGTATCTGCGCCAGTTGCATCAAGCTACCAGATCGTGATGCATTGTGCACACGCTCTTCAAAGAGGCACCAACGTCACCAAGGTGGCAGAAACACAGTTGTGTCACCATGTGTATCTACCGGCGACCACCGTAACTCTAGATGTGGCTTTAATGCCGTCAAAGCTACCCGCACCAGCAGGTAGCTTCAAATGGCGTCTCCTGTGGACTAGGGTGCACGCAAACGAGGCGCCAGCCAAGCATTTACTCGGCAGCGCACGGCTGCAGCACTAGGGAAAGTATGCCAGCCTCAACACCGTCGAGCACAAAAGTCAACGCCAATCATCAATTAACCACACACAGACACGCGCCAAGAAAAACAGCAATACAGTCTCCGACCACAAAGCCCACTACACTCAAAACGGATCGTTCTAAACACGTACATCTTTCACGACTACACTAGCTGCAAGTGCGGGGGTGGGGCCGTGTTACCACCTTGACGGCCCTTTTGCTTGCGCACAACACAGTCCTGCACTAAGACTGTTCCAACCTCACCAATCCGCTCGACGGCCATCTTCTGTACGTGCTACACCACTAAAGAGGCTCTTCCGGAGAAGCTGGCTGGCTGCACTGGGAAAGGAAGGTAAGCGTGGCCCGGCCTACGAAGTCAAGCACCGCACGGTAAATACTGGACGGTACCGGTCAGCAAACACGTTTTCCTCTCCCGTCACACTGAATCGACATCGAACTCCCGTCAAAATCACCTAGTTGCCACCACTCTACGCTACAAAATAATCTCGGGCCGCGACCCCCACGTTCATCTCCCAACACAGTTTGAAACAGCCATCAGACAAGCACAAGTATGCTCAGCGTAAACTGTTTTGCGCTCCACTTCTCGGGCTAGTGTAGTTTTCCACTTTCCGGGCTAGTGCAGTTTTCAGTGCTGGAGCCCCGTATTGCCACAAGAGCTCCTGGGTCTGTTCCGCATCCAATTTGTGCAGGTTCTCAAAGTGAAGACAATGCTAAACGGCTCACGTAAGTCGTTTTGACACTGTTGGAGCAGTGTGGAAGCTACGCCAGCCTCAAAGTGGCACAAAAAAGTTGACGCCCAATGCAGAGGACCATGACTTCATAGTGGTTTAAGGGGGGACGCTGCTCTCTGAAGTAAAATATATATATATAAAAAAAATATTTTAAAATTGTGTTGTGCACTTTACAGGCAATTTCAGTCTTGTTCCAAAGTGAAGCTTTTTTTTTTTTTTTTTCAAATATTGATATGAAAAGAAAGTAAAATGGGCCTGACTATTTTTTCCATTAATTCGCAATAAACTTTTTTACACTATTTTATGGATGCCAACACCCTACTTGTATGCAACCAGGTTTCATAGTTTTTCTTTTTTCTAGCAGCAGTATAACTAGGCATACAAAATATATATAAAATTTGGCAGAAGTATATTTTAAATGCCTCCAACATTTTTTGCAACATATTCCTAAACTTGTTCGAGTTGCACCAAAAATCTTAAAAAATCATTCTACAGTCTTCACTTGTATTCCATTGTGTTCTGTAGAACCATTCTACCGAGACAAGTCTAATTCCTAATCTTGCCCGTAATCTTTCCAGATGTCTCTTCAGTGGCATCCAAACCAACCAAATACATGAAAACACAACAGATTGGTAATCAGAATGCAAAGGCCGACATGACGGGGGAACTTCAATTAAACTGTTCCGCTGAATCACTACCAAAAAATAAAAGCCCTAGAAGCAGTGTTCCCCCTTAAGGGTCAGTTCGCACGTATGTGGCAGCGCTAAATCAACACCCCATTCAGTCTCGTCGTAGCCTGGCAAACGGCAGAGGCCATGGTTCCAGTGAGCCAACCGATGCGTCCGAGGGAGATGCACTACCACGCTCATCCGCCCGGTCGTTTGCAGTGCCGTCAAAGGCACAAGTGAGAGAGGAAAGTTGTCCTCGTATAAATTTGGAGTGACGCGTTAATCTTCCGCGTGGGACAAAAGCGAAGTCTACAACACACAAAGGAGGGTCTGGGTAAAAGGGCAGTCTTTCGTTGCCCTCTGCTCCAACCTGTTGGGTTATGCCCCCCTACCTTCAGTGACGCGCTCCCCTTCGTCGCTCCAATCGGCTCGACGAGGACCACGGCGTTTGCCTTAGGCCAAGGTAAGCCGAAACCAAGTGTACGAATGGCAGGTGCGATTTCTGGCGCTGCCGCGTACGTGCAAGTGGACCCCGAGAGCAAGAGTCCCGCGTAGATGGGGCATGGCCCGGCGCGGCCTACCGTTACTGGCGTCGGTCGGGGCTGTGTCCCTCATGACGGGAGAGGTGAGGGTCACCCAGACCGTCACCTTGGGCTCCCCGGTCGAGGTGAGCAGCACCGCCGCATCCTGGGGGCTGGCACGCACCTCGTACTTGTCGTCAGGGGCCACCGCCTGCACCGTGGTCCTCGGATTACCCGGGGTTCCCATCTCGGTCGCGGAGAGAGTGAGGTCCAATTCGCCTCTCACGGAGCGAGCTAAGACATTGTTCGTATACGGTTCGCCTGCTAAGGCGAGCGACGGACGCAGTTTGTCTGCTACGAAGTGCCATTCGAATCAAAAATGAAAATAAAACGAGAAAACTCCGTGCATTGTTTGCTAACATGTCCGGGAAAAGTTGATTGTCTGCTACCAGCAGAGCACTGCAGAGAAGCGAGAGAGAAAGCCTGTCTAAATTGCGATTGTAAAGGGTGCTACAACTGGCTTTTGTGCAAACCTTTTACTTCTTTACTTGCACTGACAAAATGCAGTCACAAGTTTCTCCTCTTGCGGTGGCTTTTAAAATGTGGCAGAAACCGCAGAAGCCTCCAAATTAGTATGTATGGTGCATGCAACAGGTCCTGAACCGGAGTGTCCCGCGTTCTAGCTAGCCCACAGAACGAAAGTGGTCCCGAGGTGGCAACGGAAACCGCCGTAATGTGTCGTGTGTCTCGAATCTGCCAACTGGAGCTAAAAGTTAAGTACCGTATTTACTCGCATAATGAACACTCCCCCCCCCCCCAAAAATACCCCTATTTGGAGGGGGGGGCGTTCTTATGCGTGGTCAAAATGTTTGCAATTACACGCTTTGTGCAAATGGCATTCTAAGTGTCATTATGACATGGCAGGGTACTGTGACACGTCTCCACTGACATCGTGGACGGGCCACAGTAATTATGCTGTATAAATTGCAAACCTCTTTTAGGGCACTTTTGGTGTGCCTTTTGCCAAAGAAAAAGTGCCTTACGAAGCTCACTCAGGAAGGAGAGCAATGCGACCGTTATTAGGCCTAACCACTCTCACTCACTGTGAAAGCGGACCACAGAGGACGGCGTGTTTCTTGACATCAATGCATCCTATAGGCGAGGAATGTCCGGGGCTGGGCAATTCCTAGACCCCAGCTCTGTCAAATGTGTGTGCCGCTCGGTTTCACGGTTGATCACTTCCGCAAGTACGCATTTGCTGCCGCTTGCAGCCATTATGAAAGCGGCTTGGCTTGACTTGGACCGACCACTTGGCGGCAAAAGAAAACTGACTCAGTGGCTGGCTAAATTGGACGCAATTCGAGACTTGTGGAGCTGAAAATTGGAAGCGCGTTCATTACGCGAGGGGAAAAAAAAAAAGCAAACCCAAATATTGGTAGGAGTTTTGGGGGTGCGTTCATTATGCAAGTAAATACAGTATGAGCAAAAGCGAGCGTCGCCAGGATCGCGTTGTCTTAACCGTCAAGCTGGAGAGCGACCTGCATCAAAACAGGCACCTGCCACGTCCACTTTCGGGAGGAAACTGAGGGACCACTTTTGAGAACACGGCAAGCACGTTGGTAGGAAGCTTGTTCCCCTGTCGTCACTCACCGCCAGGTGCTTGGGCAGCAGGGCAGCGACACGGGCGAGCAGGGTGCGCCCGGGCTTCTCCGAGCACATCACCACCAGGCCCACGGTGAGGTCTCCGGCCAGCAGCAGGCCCTTGGCCAGCACACCAACACGCATCACCCCCTTCAGCAGGCGCTGCTGCTGCGGGGCTTCCTCCTTCCTGTTCAATGGGGACGCGGGTGAGAATCCCGCTCGCCCACACAGAACTTAACATTTCTCACCAATGGGTAGATTGAATCTCGCAAATACCGCAAAACCGTCGGTCTACTTCTGAACTGGAAGCGTCTAAGTGCTACTCGAGGTGTTTACGTGTCTCTCGGGGTGAAGACATCCTTTCTTGCACCAAGTGGACCAGCGCATGACGTTTGCGGCAAAATAGTGTCTAAGCAGGAGCCAAGCCTACGCGCTCAAATCACATTACTATGCACATACCTAAAAAAAAAGTTGGGCGAAAAAATTGTGTAATGTCACCGCTCAAGCAAAAGTGTGTGTGTGCATAAGAAGCAAAAGTGTGTATGTGTAGATGAAGTTGCAAGGGGCGCTGCGTGCTATCGGAGTGCTGTTCTAGCCACTGCCTTCCTCACTCGCTACTTTCTTCACTCTCAACAAAATCATGAGAAAGCCATCGTTGACCCCTCTGCCTTCTTAGGAAGGAGATTTATTGTTAAGCTGCGAGGTACATGCAGTCGCGATAACAAGCATACTGAAGTTCATTCTCCTCCTTTTCCCCCTTTACACCGAAGCAAGGGACGAGGCCAGTGAGGCGAGAGCGGCTAAGGCTCAGGAAGTGTAAATAATTCCTCCGCAAAGTGCTATTTCCTGTTTTTGCTGCTTTATGTAACAATGTTCTCCAGCATACCCCAATTTTTGTTGCTGCCTTTATATAATGTTTCTTCAGCAGGATACCCCCTTGTGTAATGCCCGTAAGGGCCTTCAAGGTTTAATAAATGATGATGATGTCTGTTGAATTTCCCCAACTTCTTTCGTGGCTTGGTAATTGCCAAATTCTAGCACGCCGATTGCTCGCGGTGCCGCCATGCCGCTTTCATTCCACAGCAGTCGCCGACAGGGGCGGTGGACGGAAGACTAGTCAGTCTTTCTAGGGACCATACTAGCGCTACTGCACGTTGGTGCCACCTTGACTCGAATTCGCCCCATTCGTTGTAGTGCAATGCAATGAGTTGAGGTGCAGTCGGTCAAACGCAAGTGCGTGAAGCAGTTTTTGACGCACCTCAATGCGTCCGAGCTCCTTGTACAAGCGCAAAAGCCGATGCACTTGACCCGTGCATCGGCTTTTGCGGTCGGTGTAGCACTTCCTCATGCGTGCTCCCACAACGATGGTTCTCGGTATTTGCAAAAGACCTCAAATTCAATGAAAGTGCTCTAGCCTAACTTACTTGGCCTCCACCTTCTTGCCATCCTCTGCTGGTGCTGCCGGGGCTGCTGCCGCAGGGGCGGCTGGAGTCGCCTCAGCCTTGGGCTCCAGACTGCAAGTAAAAGCGTTGCCGGCGGGGTAAGACTACGGCACCACACGCACTGCCCGATGCTCCCCGCCAGCTCCTATGCTCGAGACAATTTTCAAAAACCCATCGAGCAACATTGCGTGCTGCCGTTTCTTGGGCACGAGGAGTGGGGTTAAAACAGAGTCCTCACCGAACACACGTTACTTGTTTTCAATACGAGCAAAGCAGAGTTCGCGCCAAATGCCAACAGAACACTCGTGCCCAATACATGTTCACAGTCTGTGCCTAAGCCAATGACGACTCCGATAATCGGCGATCAAGTTACCAGATGGCAGGCATTTTTCGAAAGGCGTCTATCGTCTGCCAGAGGGGTACTCTTCTTTGACCTCGGGGAACATAGATCTGCCTCGAATGACAGCTTGATGTAATAACGCAGAGTGGAAGTCTACAGACCCTGTAAGCAAAAGTGTGCATAGCAGGCAGTGATTGGTTCATAGCTATTTATGCATCGGCAGGTGGCTGAGATCTGCTTGAATGGCTCTTAAACGGGGAAACACCCAGGTGCGCAACAACCTGGCAAAACAACCCAACGCTGCCGGCTGCCAAGGTTCCTTTAGGACGCTAGACCTTAGTGGGACCCGTCTTGGCCAACAGGACGCGACGCCAGAGTCCAAGGAACTCACCCGTCTGCCAGGGCATCCGACACCATCTTGAGGGCCTTCTCCGTGTTGGTGACCATGCGTTGCACCAGACCCAGGTCCTCTTCTTTGGGGTAGATCTGGGAGTGCTTGGCCATCACATGGCGGTCGTCCACAGAGTCCGGCCGGCGGGGCATGGGCATGCCCATGGGGGGTCCGGGCATCGGGGGCCACGGGGGCATGGGCATGCCGCCCCGGCCGTACCAGCGGCACCACTCCATCTCCTCCTCGAAGCGCCGGCGCTCCTCCCAGTACATACGCTCCTCCTCCTCCATCATCCTGGGGGGACCCAGACTGCGCCACTGCATCCCACAGCCGCGACACACCAAGGGGGAAAAGGGGAGGAGGGTGGTACGGAAGAAGTGAGACCCACCTCATCTCGTCCCTCCATCTGTCTTCCTCCCGGCGCTTCCAGAAGTCGTCCCGCAGCTGGCGCCGCAGGCGCTCCTCCTGCAGCTTGCGCTGGCGCAGGCTCGGCTTGATGTCCACCACCAGGTCCGGGTTTACCTTTTTCTGCGGTTGGGAACAGGAGGCTGAGCTGAGTCGGGTTGGACGACCGATTCGTAAAATACTATACCGGGAGAACACATTCTACTCAACCCATTTGCATTAGGGCGCCTACAGCAGAAATTCTCCCCTCGCATTGAGGGCATGTCTGAGAGAATGGATGCAATGTCCACAGTGTTGCGTGGCGGCGAGGAAGAAGGCTGCCGCGGGTGTGCAGAGATGCCAGATTTGCCGAGACAGCAAAACGGCCGTTTCGACGGGTGTTCACGACGATAGATGGTGGCAGCCACCCCCTCCTAATTTAAGGGGAAAACTCCGGGGCTGCGCGCATCCAGCAATTCCAACTATGCAAAGCCTGTCACCGCTACAGAGGCTGGAAAGCGTCCCACTGGTATGTTCAGCACCCTGCCCTGTCCATACATTGAGTAGTCCCCAAAGTAGCAACAAATGACGCCTCAGAAGCCAGCGTGTCATGCTGCCTGATCTTGCAATCCTGGCAGTTGGTGGCAGAAGTCACGGGAAGAAGTACTAAGCGAACGCGAGTGTCGTCGTCGCGGCCCCCCAACTCCTGGCTGCCGAAGCTTCTGCCAATCGTCAAGCCAGAGAGCGACCAAAGCACGGATAGTTGTGGCAGAACTGCCACGACCATTACCGCTGTTGCAACAGCACGACACTAACAACATCATTGAGCAGAAATCGAGTGACCACTTTTATAGGACCAGTCTGAGACCCATTCCAGGCAGCATACCGAGGCAGAGATGACCAGATTCTCACGGAGTGAGACGCACTCACCCAGTAACACATTTCTAATTGTTCTCAAGGAGCTACCCCCCCCCCCCCCCCCCCTCCCAACCCAAGATGGCCGGCTGCCATGCCCACCTTGTACTGGAGCCGGTGGCGGCGTCCCTTCATGTGCATCTCCTTGGCGTTGGGGTCGTTGAAGCGGCACTCGCACAGCTTGCACTGGAAGCTGATCACCTTGCCCTCGTCGTTGCGCATCTCCTCGATGTAGTCCTGGCCCACGGGCTGCACCTCCACCCCCTTGTCCAGGGAGTCCCCGGCCCCCTCCTCCGAGCCCTGGGACCCGGCCTCCCCGTCCGCCACCTTGGCGTCGCCGCCGCCCCCGGCTGCCACGCCGGCTGCGGCCGCAGCCGTGGTGGTCGTGGTGGCTGCCGTGGCCCCCGCCTTGGCCGTGGTGGTGCCACTGGGGGGAGCGATCACGACCGGCTCTGTCGACGGGATCGGCTTGCCCAGCTTTGTGTGCAGCTTCACCACCTGGCAGCAAAAAAGGAAAGCGAACGAGATATTAGTGTTCAGACCGTAGAGTTAATGTAACAACCTAGAGGAAAAGGTGCCGCGCATTCCGGCCGCTTCGGATTGGCGGGCGTGGACATCGGTGGTCCCAGTGGGTGGTCTCGACGGACCCGGATCGCTGGCAGAGCATTAATACGTACGAAGCAGCAGCAAAACAGTGCCTCTAAGGTCTGTGCCTACTGGGTGTCCCAAGGAGAGGCCAGGCTCTTTAAATCGACTGCAAAATTCAGTTTCCTAAAGGGATGGTAAACCGAAATTTGGATTAAAAAAAAACAAACAATGCAGGAGATGTAGGCAGGACGCTACAATCCCTACAACACTACAGTAAAACCACGTTATAACAAAGTTGAAGGAGCGGTCATAATTATTTCGTTATAACCATTAGTTTGTTATATAGCCAATGTCCATTTCTTCCCACTATTAGCAAGCAAGGGGAATTATGATTGCTTTGTTATATCCATTAGTTTGTTATATCCCATTTTGTTATAACGAGGTTTTACTGTACTAGTAAGGCGATATCTTAAATGAACGGCCGTATTTTTGGAAAAAGAAGTCGAGATTGAACCAAGCTGACGAGGTGCGTGGCCGTCAAGATACCTAGTTTCCTCCTCTCTTCGCTTCGCTCCCCCAAGGCCGCGAGGCGGAGAAGATACGAGGCAGTTCCCTCTCCTTTTCGGAGAAACATGACTTACACATTCCTGCCAAATGCGCCTCTTTTTTTGAAAAATACGGTCATCCGATCGAGATATCGCTGTATGAGTGATGTTTTGGTGTTTGTAGCTTCCCGTTGCACGCCTTTGCCGCGTGTTTAAGGGGAATCCAGATTTCGGTTCAGCATCCCTTTAACCTATCGCGCTACGACTTTGTGCAGCGTTGCCCATAGATGGTGCATTTTTTTTGTAAAATATGCAAAGAGCGAACTTACCTGAGGAAAAAGTAAAGAAAGAAAAAGGCTAAGCTCCTATGGAAACGCACCGAAGCCACCGGTCTTCAAACAATACAGTGTGTTTCGCAAAGGAGACAAGAGATGGCCCATGCCGTCGCGACGCCAACGAACGAGCATACAGTGCCGAGAGTCGACGACATTAGCAGACAATCTTTTTGACTCAAAAGCATCAGTTGCCAATGCATTATTTTACCATCCTTACTAATAAAACACATTGAATCGATAGAAAAAATAGTTTGTTGGGTTATTTTAACTGTTTCTTTCGTGGTACTTATGTCGTCTGCTTTGCAGTTCCTTGTTGTTACCACGCCTGTTTTTGTTTCTGCGACTGTCGCAGCCTGCGGAACGCGCGCCGCTTTTGAGTCGAAAAGATTGTCTTCTTAAAACACCGGCTCTCAGCAGCATATGCTCGTTTGTTGGCGTCCCCGACCGCCGGCGTCATTTCTTGTCTCCCGTGCGAAACGGCGCTGTATTGTTTGAAGACCGGTGGCTTCGCTGCGTTTCCATAGGAGCTAAGCTTTTTTTTTTTTTTTTCTTCAAGTTTTCCTCACGTAAATTTGCTCTTTGCAAATTTTACAACAAAAAAATTGCACCATCTGTGGTCAACACTGAACAAAGTCGTAGCGCGATAGATTAAGAAACCGAATTTTGCGGTCGATTTAAAGAGCTTGGCCGCTCCTTGGGACACCCAGTAGTTAATTTCTAGCTTACCCCGCAATAAAACACTGGCCTCGTGCATCGCAAAGAAATTAAATAAAGTTGACAAGCACTCAAATAACTTCAACTCGTTGCAGCAAAAGGAATGCGCCCCACCTTTTGTCAGCTTTTCTGTCACTCTTTCTCTCAAGACCGCCGATGTCAACGCGCACGATTTGCCGCCGTTCCACTCCCGTCTTTACCCCACTGGTTTAACGAGTGCAAGGTCGGTTTAATGTCACTAAATCAAAGGTAATCGACAAGCTTTCTAGATTGCCCGGCGCAATTTTGTGGCACGTCCTTCTGGCGGTGCTCGCTACACTATCAGACCAGATTGTGTGGACAGGAGTCGAGCAACGGAACCGATGTAACGTTGGATGCACATTGTCCGCAGCAGAAAGATTCTATTGGAGCTTTTACGGTAAACGTAAAGTTTGCACAAACATTCGTGCAAAAAGTGTGTCGTTCGAAATTATTTCTTCTCTGTTGGCCGCTGGTGGTGCCAGAAACGCCATCTGCCCATACCTGCTCGCGTGTAGGCAACGGAGAATGACCACTTTGTGACAACGCTCTTCTATGCAGCCGGTCAACTGACGGATATAAGAATGTTCCGTCACCCTACCTTTGGGATACGGCGATACTTGTTTAAGCTGTAGATGAGAAACTTAGCCAGTGCAGTAGGTCCTTTGGTGCGAGCTTTTGCTCTATGCACTTTGAGCTGCAGCATGTTAGTGCACTTGGCCACCAATCCCTCTACCACCTGGGGGCTTGCCCGGTTGATAAGCTGCCTCCCTCTCATCACCTGACCCTGCTCATGTGCGTGCGCGGGTTGGAGTGGGAGTGTGGTCGGTTGGGTGATGAAAGACTGACATGCAATCGGTCTAAAGAAGCGCATTGCTCCCACTGCACCGTTTAAAGCGGATTCGCACGACAAACCGAATTGTGCTTTTTGTCAGCAGATTAAGCATCCTGCGACCCGTGCCTCATCTGCAAACTGAAATGAACACCTTTTAACTGAGATCTCTGACGGAGGACTTACAAACGTTCAGTCAGGCAACAACACGAGATTCTTTTTTTTTTTTTCTAAGAAGGAAAAACAAAGATGGCACATCATTGTGTTTTGTTTGTTCGCTGGTTCCGGACGTGAAAGAAGCCGTAGGAACTTTGCCTGGATGATGCACAGCAGGTTCCGATACTCCTCGGGGTACAGGTCAAAAAGCTCCCATGTATTCTAGATTCCAGCAAAACTGATGCCCCCCAGCAGGAAAACGCTGAACTGACCAGAACAGGTACTTTCGCGATTTTGCTCAACCATCGTAGCTCACGACGGCCGTTTGTGCAGTGGAATAGTTATCCAGGTGACACCGTCGACTCGCGTTGCCTAGGTCGCTTTGAATGCAATTTACGCTACCGCGCGAACCGGACATTGTGAGTTTATCAATATTCGTTAGTACTATAGTCCTTCAATCGCTTTCCCGAAGAAGGTAGTGCCTCTGCCAGCTCGCTTACGTCAACACATCACCGCAGGTTTGACAAGTGGTGCTTGCCTGCAGAAACCCGAGCATTGTGAACTGAGCTGGCACATGGCACAGCACAATCTGTTTTAGACCGCCATATTTTCCCAATAGTGGCAACCTACACCTATAGGTTGCTGAGTCTTGAATAGTACTCACACAATGCCGACTAACTTTTTTTTTTTTTTTTTTTTATTTCGTCGCCTTTTTTTTTTTGTATGACTCAAACAAAACAATTCAAAATCTCTGCTACGGTCTCCTTGAACTTGTTGTCAAGTAATACAACTCCTTTTCTGAGAGCAGAAGAGATCTTGAATTGAATTATATGTCAAACAAAAAGTAAACGACGACGAAATTAAAAACAGTTGTTAGTCAGCGCTGCATTAGTGTCTCCCTTTTCGTGTGCCTGTGCAAAGGGCATGCCCACTTTTTGCGTGCAGTTACATCGGAAGTGGAAACAACTCGCCAGCCCAAACTGCAGTCGCAAGCGTCCGTCGAAACTCCTCTAGCCCACCGCAATCCGCACTGCGCGCCCATCCCGCCCTTCACCCAGCGAGACCTCCTTGCGGCTGCGGGGTACTCAGCGTGCAAGGCACGAGGGCATCTGCCAGAACTAACCTTCTGGTGCTTGGCTCCCCGGATGTGGGCGGCGTAGGCGTCCGAGCCTGTGCAGGTGACGTCGCAGAGCTCGCAGCGCAGGGCAGTGCCTCCCCGCGGCAGCGGAGGGGCCCCCGCGGCCCCGTTGCTCTTCAGGGCAGCCTCCTTTTTCTTGTGCTTCTGGCCCTCCAGGTGCTCTTTGTAGGTCTGGGGCCCCGCACACGAGATCTTGCATACCTCGCAGTAGTGCAGCTGCGGGGCCTTCGGGGGAGGTTTGGGCTTGCCCATCTTGGGCACGAAGGGGCCCGCCCGCTTGAACGGGGCACCCCCGCCCCCGGCGCCCCAGGGGAGCTTGGCCCCCGTCTGGTGCTGGCCGCCGCCGCCGCTGTTTTGGCCTGCGTGCAAAGGTCGGACAACGCACCTAAGACCCACGTCTCTCCCGCCCCCGAGACTGCAATGAAACAGTGGAAACTCCGCGCGGCGAACCGGGGACAGGAGGTTATTTCGCTTTTCATAATTGAAACTTCTTTGCAAGCCGGAAGTCTAAAAGTAGGATGTACAAGAAAGACGTCGCCCGTAGTTAAGTGCAAGATTTCCAACAAATGTGCTCGAGGGCCACCTCTAAACGAGGTGGCAACCAATTCTCAAGACTGCAAAAAAAAAAAAAAAAAAAGATAGAAACTCGACACTGGGACCCCAAGAAATTGTAAGGGGTACTGGAAAGCCTGGAAAGCCCCAAAAACCCCAAAATGCCTGCCTTGGTCATCCCATACTCAGCGGCGTCTGGTGCCTGAATGCACCTGGATCCGGTGTGTCTAGCGTCCCATTCTGCCCATACACTGTTCCCGAAGTGGTAACGAACGACGGCACAAAATCCGGAATGTTACGCCGTCAGACGTCGCAATCCCCGCGGTTGGTCATAAAAGACCCGTCATAAAGCACGAGAAATGCGAATGTCGCCGCCATCACGGTGCCCCCATTTCCGCCTGCTGCAGACTGTCAAACCGCAACTCGCAGTGGAACGAGTGCCTGCCACTTGCCCCGCCGCAACAATGCCGGTACTGCAACTGACGACGGCACTCCCCTGCCATCGTCGAGCAGAAATCGAGGGACAGCTCTTTTGGACGCGGCAAAAACACCAGTCAGAGATTCATTCCGGGCACAGTCTCGTGGCCGTTCACTCACCGTGGTAGCCTCCGCCCGAGTTCTGCATGCCGCCATAGCCCGTGCCCCCCGTGGCATAGCCGGAGTACAGGTAGGTGGCAGCCGCGGCCGGGTTTGAGCCCGCCGAGGCCCCTCCCCCCTGCTGCTGAGGTGACGGGGCCACCTTGGCCGCCGCCTGGGCCGGCCGGTAGGCCGAGGCGAAGCTGCTCTTGGCCGTTGGCTGCTGGGCCGCGTAGCTCGAGCTCACCCCCTCGGCCGGGGCCGCGGGGGCCGCCCCTCCGGTCGCCGACCCGTAGCTGGACCCCACCTGGCCCTGGCCGTAGTAGCCCCCCTGGCCGCCCTTGTCGTATGTGGCCTGCACACCCACGCTTCGTCCTTAAAACCTTCCAGTGTCGCCTTTTCTTTCCCGCACGTCCAACGCCAAGATTGGTCTCGTGCGGAGAGCTTTATGAAATGCACACTTATTGAAGATGCACCAATCTACGAGCTGAAAGTTAACACATGTCTGCGTGCCTCCAACCTAGGATATTTTTCTTTAATTAACTTTGAGACAATACTAAGGCTGAACTTTTTTCTTTTTTTTTTCGCCATTTCACTTTTTTAATGAATTGCGGAACTTATTCTACGCTGTGGATGCTTTTGAACTGAAATATGAGGAACGTGGCGAGATATTTTTTAAAAAATGTTCTAGTTATAGCTGAAGCTAGTTACGGCTATGCTCAATATTTTGCATCAATTGTATATGATAGATTCCCTTGCCAAGTGAGGCGACTTACATCAAAAGAGGTGTACCTCCCCGTTGCTTATAGGGAAATTGCTCTACGAAGCAAAACGTCATACAGTGCATTTAAGCAAGGAGATGAATAGACCCTCCAAATTTCATCAATATTGAGTGACTGGTTTAAAAATCTACAATTGAAAGTGGTGCCACCCCTTAGTTTGAGCTTATGCTGAACATACGTTCTAAAACAAATATGCCGTCCAGTGAATATTTTCCATACGAGAAAAGGCAAGCGCGCACAGCGCGTGTACCTACGTTCCCAGCAGTCTCTTTGGTGCTCAGGCAATCTAGCAAATGGTCAATTAAACTAACTGTCGAATCAATGTAAGTTAAATCATAGCATATTTGAGAAATGGGAGAAACTCAGGCAGTGATTTCTATTAAGATGCCCAAATGAAGAAAAATTTTCATCTTGATACTCCCTCCTGGCAAGGTCATTCTAATGCCAAGTTGATTTCTCTTGCCTTTACCGGACACCACACAAGTGACCGAGCGAGTAAGTTATTCCCCCATTTGTTTTGGCAAGTTGTACATTTAACCACGCTTTCCCGGGGGCAAGAAAATAAGCAGACTTTACCACAATGGCAGACATCTTCAATTTGCCCAGACTTCTCAGACGAAATGTGCCTCTTTAGCTTGCCCCAAGAGACCCTTATCAAAACCGCATCAAGCAACGTTGAACATCTCCATTTCTTGAGCACGCAATTAAGATTTGAATCAACACCGACGCAACAATAGTTTTCGATAAGAGCAGAGTTTACACCAAACGTTGACGCAGCCCTTCTGTCCAATACGTGCTAGGTATACGTGCCCAACCAATGGCGAACTCTGATGATGGACACAGCAGCCACTAGATGGCGTGCACTTTTGAAAACTGCCCATTGTTGCAGGGTGGCGCCATGTTGAACTTCTGGCAGGTGTGACGCACACCTCGTACACCTGCGTCTCTCCGCGCCGCGCAACCCAGATGGCAGAACAAAAACCGCTGGGGCCGTTAAACAACACGCGCCCCTTTTATGGCCCTTCAGAAGACTACACAAAGCCACTTACCCCGCAGCACAAAGTCCCGAGAATGGTTAGGCAGAGTGAATGCAGAGATTGAGAAGCTAGCCTTCACGGCGTGAGCAAAAACAGCGGGGGGGGGGGGGGGGGGGGGGACTTCGATTGGCTCTCTTGCTGCATGTGCAGACGAGGTGCGATCAAATGCAAGAGCTTGCACTCGCAACATTTTCTGTTAGTTTAAGTTAAGATCAGACACACAAGAGATCTTCTCGGCTGCCTTTTATCAGAACTACGGGCCGAGGGCATTGAAGGGGTCGTGCAACAATATAGGGCTGGAACGTTTAAAATTTACACAAGCTTTCTGGTATACTCGCAGACAACGCCACTGACCAGAAAGCTTCCTCGTCGCTGTCGCGGTGCAAGTTCAGAAATGAAAGCCGACTGTTTCCATCAGCTGACACAACGGTGAGAGCTATACATTGGTGTAAACAGTGCATGTCGCAGCTGCCAGATAAAGCCCTCTTCTAGCCTTCAATATAAGAATAATACTAGACTTGCTGGACCAATGTAGAACTTGGCACTTGGCGCTACGCGTGTTGCTTAGTATTCACCACAATTTTGAGCCTCGAAAGCAGCAGTAAGTTTGGGGAACATGCTGAGGCGGAAAGATCTCTGGCGTGGCGTTCGTCATGGTCAGAGCATGTGCTCCGAGTGGAAAGACCACGCGTGCGGGTGCCATGAAAATAAAAATTCTTTATCTTTTCTTTTTTTTTTCAGTTGCATTGTTGGCTAAGGCCACTTATGCGCATGCCAATAGGTCTTCATCTGGTCGACCACCTCTCAGTGTTCACTGCGCCAAGTGTCCTAACCCGTACACATCTTACGTCATGGCTATCAGTCACGGCAAGTAAGGATTCCTTAAGACTGGGAATCCCTGCCCCGAGTGTAGTTTATTCGGCTGCTTCTACGGGAGACAAGGATCAACCCACCTGCTGCCTGGGGGCATAGTGGAAGGCAGCTGCGGCAGCTGCGGCCGCAGCCCCGTGGGTGTCGTAGGTGCCGTACGACTGGGCAGCCCGGGCGCCGAACTGCTGGGGGGCCGCAGCCGCCGCCGCCGCGTGCTGCATGGCGTACCCCTGGTTGCCCGTGTAGGCACCGGCCGTCCTGCAAGAGACCCCCGTGCCGTTAGCCTCCCCGCCACGCTCGTGGGGAGGAGATGCACCCTGGCTTGCGTGAGGGGAAGCGCGCCACACAGGGGAGGGCCTCCAGTCTCGAACGACGGGCCGCCGTTTATACGGAAGAAACACTCTTGCAACGCACCATATTTTCAAATGTAAGAGTCATTTTCTTTTTTTTTTCTATACAGGGAGAAACTGAGGGAGAGGAGTAAACGAGAAGCATAGAGACGTCGCAGCAGCGATCTCTGGTTGGAATGATTAGAGGATAGATGCAAAGCTAGCCAACTTTGTCTCTCTCTCTTCGAACGCCAACGCCCGGTGTTCAAACAGTAAGCTTTGTGTTTACCCAATCATTCCAACAAGAGCTGGGTGTTCCAGGATCCCCGCATGCCTCCGTCTCCTCTCCTTTAATTTCTACACGTACAAAGGCCGGTTGACATGCACATTGCAGCGCTAAGTCAACGTTAATAAAAAGCAGCACCGCTTGCAGCACTGCGCCACCAATACCAACGCTATTTTCAGCACAGACTAATAGCACCGAGTTAGCACTGCAGCGTACGTGTGAAGTTAAGGAGCAGACCTAACTGTGCAAGTTCCCCACGGGGGTTACGTCTTCGGTTTGATTCGCGCGCATATTGCAACCCCAGTACGAATATGCGGGTTTATTCATGCTGCCTCACAGCGCTGACCGTACAAATATACGTACAAACCCTAGCTCGTAAAAAACGGCGGTTTATGGGGGTGCGACTCATACGGAGGAGAGAACTCTGGACCGTAAAATACGGTAATTGAAGGCAAGGCAGGTAAACCCCCCCCCCCCCCCCCCCCCCCCCACCCGACAAATCCGGGTTCCTCCCTCAGACACGCGAGAATTGAGAAACGCTTCGAGACAACTTGAAAGCGAGTGTCATGGCACGCTGCACAACGTACCCCTGGCTGGTTGTGTAGGCACCCGCCGCACTGCAAGGACACAAGCGAGAAACAGCTCGCCTCAGAACAACACACATGCATCCGGCTAACAGTTGATTCAAGACGGTTGTAGGAAGGCCACGCTGCTAAAGTCGCTGGTTCCTGGGAAAGTAGCGCCAATGCTTTCCCTGCCTGCTAGCTGGACACACAGACACTATACTTCGTTTCAGCTCGAGTCCAGACACAGCCAATGCTACAAACGCGAGCATGTGGCCCTGAACACTGCCTGCACCGGACGAGCGCGCGTGCATGGCAGGGATGCCGAAAGCCCGGAGCTCCCTCTTGTAGCTTGTCCCAAGCACACTTGAGGTGGAACGAAGTATAACATGAGGACGACCAAAACCTCGCAAGAAAATTCGTTGATCTCAGCTGCAACATGCAATCGCCATTTCACTTCTTTCATATTTTCCAAAGAGTGGTTTTGAACCAGTAGCGCCAAGATCCCTACGGGGCATCACCGTACTGAAAAAAAGTTCCTTGCCAATGTAAGCGTCGTTGGTGCTGGGTACGCAATCAGCTTATCAGTTGTGCTAATCTCCTTTGTATCTTTAACAATGATATTGCTCTCCTCGATTATATCGAGACAAGAAAATTGTTTTGCAATGCCGCCAAGCACCGACACGCAGATGCTGCGAAGGTGAGAGCTTGATTTGCAAGTGTGCAAATAATAAAACCACGGTATACGAGAAACGTCTTTATGAAGCAGCCTGTCACGGGAATTTTCACTGGCTCACCAAGAATGAGGGAGAAGTTGATCAATTTCATACACCGAAATGGCGACAAAATTAGGGGGAGCTTGGCGCTACTTTCCCAGGATCCAGCGACTCTGGCCCACGCCGAGCCCAGCACAGCCTTTCTGCAAGTTCATACGGCGCACGTAGGGCCACTGTAAACGTGAGCGCACATAAGGATGGTTCCTCGAGTGGTTCTCGTGGGCCTCCCAGAACTGCTACCGACGCCACCCTTCAGAAGTGTGAGCGAACCTTCCTAACGCTTGTTCCACGGTGAGGCTTCGCCGCTCAGATACCTCTCTCGTCAAAGCGCCCATTTTACGTTTACGATTCCCAACGAGACCACGGAGCCTGGAATCCATCTCCAACCGTAGTGTGTCTAGAGTTCTACTCCACCCATGCATCGAAAGTGGCGCTAAAGTGGCAACAAATTACTTCACCAAAACCTGAGCGTCGTGCTGTAATCTTAAAAGCTGGGCGTAGAAAAAAGAAAAAAAAAAATCTTGGCTGCCAAACTTTTGCGGATTGTCGTGCATCTGCGACCTTCACTGCTGCTGGACACCGCCAGGAGCACGGCTGGCAACAGCAAAACATTTTTGCGACGTCGCCTTTTTTTTACATAGTAAACACACGGGTTGGAGACGAGTTCCAGACACTGTGACAAGACAGACAGCACTAGCCGCCGTTTGTGTAGGCCGGCAGAGATGCGACACGCCTACGGCGGCTGGCTGGCTGCCCTTCGCTTCGGGCCTCCGTCACTGGTACATTTTAACAATCGAAAAAAGAGCAAAGAGAAGGACAATAACACAGTCAAACCTGCATAACAAGCAGCACAAATAATTGTAAACAAAAGTATGCTCCCCTTTTTTCTTGCAATCGCACATGTCGCAGTATTCCCATATAACGAGTTGCAAGTGGCGCCGGCACGGGCAAAGGAGCACATCTTAAAGAGACGCTGACCTTACAACGCTTCTTTTTACACATGCAAAGAGAGAACATCCGTGTACTTGCCACCCAAACACAACTTTTCTCGAAAAAAAATATTTTTTTACGCAATATTTAGGTTACAGAACTCTTCGACTGTCGCAACGTGCTCCTATTTTAGGACGTGCAAAAAGAGCATGCACGCTTTAGGATCACTCACTCAAAACAAGCCTTGCAAAATAAATATTGTCTTTGCTCTTTTTTTTTTTTTTTTGTGGAAAGTAGTTTTGCGATTGAGGCACCAAGAAAATATGTTGGGAAACTTCGGGGTACCTAGGAACGATTACGAAACAAGTTGGTGCTTCGGGTAAACGAACCGAAACGTTCAAATCACTCCAAACTCAAAATATGCCTTGCCATGTGGATCTACAATAAAATCTTTTCTTTCGGGGAAAGTTTCTTTTGTAACGTGCATGTCCTATCCAAGCAACTAACAATAGAACTTTTGGGGGAGTTCAGTGTCCCTTTAAGGCCACAGGCTCGTTCATTGCAAAGTGCCGCCGCAGACAGGATCAGAAACAAATCTCAACCCTCGCGACAACCGCTCCTGTTCCATGTTTTCCGGTGTACAAGTTCCAGAATTTTTTTTTTTTATATATAAAATTTTTTCTTTGGTGCATTTTTTACGAAAATAACTCGTACCAGTCTTCTTTCAATAAAAACCGACCTCAACCGTGCAAATTTGCTGCGGGGGTTACATTTTTCAATTGATTCGTTAGCGAGAACATTGAAGAACACATTGCGATCACAATATATATATACATATATATATATGCAGGCTTATCAACAGACTTTCACCGCACCTACCGTAGAAATATGCAAGTGCGACTTATACAGGGTGCTTCTTAAAACATGAGCCAAATCATTCGTGCAAAAAGTATGCAATGCACAAAAAAAAAAAAGGAAGGTTAATGTAGTATAGACCTTGTGGCTACCCCTTCGCCTCCCTCGTTGGAAAGAAGGAAATGCAGTGCTCGTGCGTTACACGCCTCGGCCACAGGGGACAAAATCGCTGGCACTAAGATGCACTTTGACGAGAAAGTATCCAAATTGAGCTTTTCTTTTAAATGACGTAAAATGCTGTATAATAATCATCAATGATTCTCAGAAAGTTTCTAGTTGAAACCAAACCTATAAATTCACTAATTAAAAAGTAACTAATTATACCAAACATCATCAATTTCCCCAGACCAACAAGGCACCCATCTTTCTTCTGTGCGATGCATACTTTTCGCAGGAACAACTTGGCTCGTTTCAAAAAACACCCCATAATCATTTTTTTATGTCTTTTTCCAAAAAAAGGTTGTTTATAGCAACTTGTAGACCGGAAACTATGGAAATTCTGGACAAAGAAGGGACTCCGCCGTCTCGCGGCAGATGCGCGAAAATCGAGAAAAGCTTTGAGAAACAACTTGAAAGCGAGGGCCACAGCACGTCGCGTGACATACCCCTGGTTGGCCGTGTAGGCACCCGCCGCACTGCAAGGACACAAACGAGGAAACAACTCGCCTCAGAACCACACACATGCACCCGGTTAACGGCAGCTTCGAGCACGGTGCCAAAACTCGTCTTCAACTGGTGTGTTTTTACTTCGAAAAAATTGGTCCCTCGATTTCCGTCTAAGGAGGTGATGAAGGCCATGCACTGTTGCCAGCCGCGATCCTTGATGCATAGGAGGGTTAGGTTGGTAAACACACCCGTTGAAGACTCGTTCCTGGCAGTGCGCTTCGAGGCCAAGGTACGCAACACTAATTCGCGGTCAAAGACTAGCCGCCCACCCTCTCAGAAGAGCTGAAAGTGCAGAACAAGCCCGCACCCAGAGCTGTCGCTGGCGAGCCTGAACAAAACACGGCACTTCCACGAGACGGAACCTAGCTAAAGCGGGAATGTGCAGCCAAGGACACCTTGTGCAGCAAATTTAGAAAAGCAGGACAGGCTTCTCCTGCAAAGGCCTCCACTCTTTCCAGCAGAAACAAGACTGGAGTGGAGGCGAGACCCTCCTCGCCTTCTCTCGCCCAGTCTCCAGCATTCACTGGAGATGGGGCGAGAGACTTAACCTGCAACCGGGTATAGCGCTTATGAAGTGCCAAACAAGTCTGAGAACTGGCAAAAATCGAGCGCAGTTAAAGCCAATAAAATTGTCGAACCGGAGAATGCCAAGGTGCAAATGCACTTTCCCCTGGCTTTCAGTTCTGACAATCGACAAATCATAAATCAACCTGTAGTCAACGACAGGCAAAGAACTCGCTAGATGCTACGCCTAGAGCTCAAGTTTTTGATAATGCTTTGTTGCACGTGCAGTCGAAACTCGGCGGATGCCTTTTGGGACTATACGCAGGGGCATGCCACAAAATCTGCACATTACTCCCAAAGGGCTGCAGCTGCAGCCAGAACACCACTTTTCTTATCCTATGCAGGCACAAGGAACAAAAAGGGAGCTCTAGTAGATCGTTTCGATTACTCCCATAACGACACTCTGCCGGTGCCTGTATTGTTTACATGTCCCTGCATCCAATGTGTAGGCAGAAACCCTCGCTTTGTCGAACCGCAGCTGCCGAACTTGGCACTTGTCGAGGCCGCTTTCCAGCTGGCGTCTGGGGCTGCACACCCACACTCCTCTTGGCATTTTTCAGTACCCGACAGAAACCTTGACAGACACCGGTACCGTCTGCTTCGATTTCCACCATTCTATAGGGTGGCTAGTGTTTCCTACGCTGTAAAACGAGTTGGAAAAATTGACACCTGTATAAACAAAGCTCGAACTCTCACCGAATGGGCTCCGAGGCGATCAGATTCACCTTGCACAATTTTGAGGAGTAGTACTCTTCCTTCGAAAATATACAGCCAAGAAACTTGTCAAACACGACGGCGGACGCGTTTGCAAAGGACCGACCTGGCAATGAATGAAACTTGTGGCGCCATCTATCAATAGATGCAGCAAGCAGACACACTGGGCACATTAAGTCAACGCGCTCAAGCACGCTTCAGCGGTCCGAGTGCACTCCAACTAAACTAAACCAAATTGCCTCATTTCCGGTGCACGGTGGTAGAGCGCGCTCCGCAAGCTTTGTCTTCGAAGATGGTGTGCGAGAGCTCGAACAGGTCTGTTTCCAGTAAGATGACGGCGTTTCCGGTCTCGGGGCCAGTCTCGCGGTGGTCTCGCGTTCTATTCTCGCGCCTGCTTGAATACGTGGATACTTCGACGGCGATCTCTTGGCAGCTCGTGCAGTCATTCGTCATCGTGGGAAATAAAAACAAAATGATGTAGACAGGTATGCACATATCCTTCAAATGCTTGTAGAAGTTCTCCATGCGCCTTACCACAATTTCAGGATCAGGCAAGCCAATGAATTCGGCCATTCAGCCATCATTCTTTGAGGTTTTTGGGAATTCAGAAGACGTTTGGCATACATTTAATCGCCGCACCAACAGCATGCAGCACAAATAGAAACTCTTGCTGCCGCCTCCGCGCACTTATTTGATTGAAGTCGTCGTCGAACAAACAATGATTTTCGACATAACGGGAGCCATGTCTAAGCACGCGCCAGAGAGCCAGAACCAGAAACATTCAAAATAGGCGTTAGATGACGCCTCGGTACGAAAAAAAAGTGTGGTCGTTAAGCTACACTCCGAACCCGCGCGCTCTGCTCGAGCGCAGATGTCCGCTTGCTGCGCCTATTGGAGGGATGGACTGGGCAAAGCAGATTTGGAACAATCTTGCGAGCAGAAAAAACTGCAGTTTGGAGCAGGCTGGGAGCAGCAAACACGAGGTCTTGGAGCAGCATACGAGCTTCAAGAATGTTGAAAGAGGGGCTAAATGTCATCTGGTTTTCAAAACTACTTTTAGGAGCAAATATTTTTCACTAAATTATGTGCGAAAATGCACAAAACATGAAGCAAAACTGCACATGACAGTGTGATACGTGATAATCCGACTTGGAAAGAGGACAGTATATAAACAGGTACAAATAGCTTTCATTACTCAACACTGATTACTAAGGTGTACTAAAAAATAAAAATGCAGGTCCAAAAATGTTTTTTCATTTTTAAGCGACTAGAGTAAGATAATAATTCTCCTTGTTCATATAAATCTATTGGGACTTCGTCTATTGGGCGTTAGCCTCCCGCTACAGCACTTGTCCAGACTCAATCCTCTCTTTATTTTTTTTTTTTTTTCGAGACCCAATTCAATCAATGAGTGCGCAGGTGCATGCTCAAGCATAGTCAGTGATGTGATTGGCCTAAGCCATTTTGGAGCAGCTCTTGGAGCAGCAAAAGTGGCCTTTGGAGCAGCCAGAACAGTGCTCTGGAGCAGCCAGAACAGTGCTTTGGAGCAGGAAACGTGGCTTTTGGAGCAGCCAAAACCGTGTTTCGGAGTAGCGAAAGTGGCTTTTAAAACAAAAATTCTTAGAAAAAATTTGTGTTTTGTTTTAAGTGCTGGACAAACGAAGGACGCTTTGTGCTGTGTTGTGACTGAACTCGCTTTTTGTGTTTTTACTGCTGAGAGATCCCACAAGTGTACAGTGTTGTAGGCGTTGCCGAACGATTCCGAAAAGAACGCTTGCAACCGTTTTACTGGTTCCCGACGTGCCAGATTTTCGTCAAAAGTAAGCAAACGTATAACAATGAATTGCAAAAGTACCGGCTGGTGCCTCTGTCGTGCAGTCATGTTCACATGCACGTGAGGGCAACATCAGCAGGCTTGCAGTGGTATGTGCTTCGTCGCGCAAGCGGAGACAACGGCTGTTGAATCGAAATCGGAACAATGCCACTCCGGTCCGTCGCCAACTGGTTCCCAATATAGTATGCGAAATGTAACTCTCCAGCATACGACAAAACAACACTCCAGCGCCGCGTGCTTGCCAGACCGGCAGGTGAGGTACTGTGCTAATCACACTTGACATTAACGCACGAGCGTGCGGATTTCTCTGGAGAGCGCTAGACTGGTAGCATTCGCGGAAACTAAGCTAGTCACGTGGCGCAACATGGAACGGCCCGCTCAAGGGGTGTCCTGCCCACTCTATCAGCTGGCGGCGAACGCGGAAGGCTGCTCGCACGCTTTTTACAAACATCATTGCTCGAACAATAAACGAACTAAAGCATGAAGGCGTATCAACGATGTAGTCATCAAAATACAAAGCAAAATATATCACGAAGCACTTTTATAACTTATCAAGCTGGTATAAGGCTTGCTACTATGCAAAAAACCAAAGTATATCAATTGACCGGATTTAACAGGACTGCGCATAGTATCGAGAGAGTCCTGCAGGACAAAAGCACTAATCGCCGACAATGACACCGCGTTCGCCGCCAGCTGATAGAGTGGGCAGGACACCCCTTGGGCGGGCCGTTCCATGTTGCGCCACGTGACTAGCTTAGTTTCTGCGAATGCCACCAGTCTAGCGCTCCCCGGAGAACGCCGCACGCTCGCGCGTTATAGACAAGTGTGATTAGCACTGTATAATATAAAGACACAGGAGAAAAGAACCTGAGCGCATCAATGCAAGACATCGCGAGCCAGGGTAAAAAATATCTTGAAGCGCTTTGTACAACGACTGAACTTGAGACAAACAAGCGCGCTGCGTGGGTTCAGCGTGCAGACACTGCCTTCTTTGCTTTAGATCACTTCTCTTTACCAACTTTCTTTCGTAGCAAATTTTTCACGTACCGGGGTCCCCTTCGAAAGAAAGCCCACCGAGAGGAACATAGGTAATCATTATTTCGACAAGCAGTCTTTGAATTAAAGGGGCACTTGCACGAAATTTGAAAAACAGCCGTCGTGTTCAGAAATAGGTTGAATGTGATCCAAACTTTCCTTAAATGATAATTGCACATTTGTATTTTGAGCCTGATCGCTGTATTTTTGTTTATAAACGGCTTATTCTGGCATGCGCTCGGAGAGCAGCCAACACCAAACACGTCACATTCGCCGCAATCGTGACGTAGTTCGTATCGGAACGAACAAAGCTTCGGGGAGGCTGATGTCGAGAAGATGTCCAAACATTTCCAGCCACCGAAGCGGCTGCTTTCGTACGAATTTTTAGTGACGGGTTATTCCTCTGTAACCTTGTAGGGGGACAGTAGCGACTTCTGGGAGACACAAAGGACATTCTAGGAACGAGGGGACCTCTTCCTTCCCCTTTTCTCTCGTGGTGGCCGGAGGCGAGACAGTTATCGTCACTACATGTGTCAAAGTTCCTATACGGCCATTACAAACGAGGCGTTAGAGACATCCACCAGGTGCTCCTTGCTAATCGTTTAATTGGTTTTAAAATTCCTGATGTGATAGTGCTCCCTTAAACACGAATAGACCAAGAAATAAGCGCCGAAATTTCGTTGTAATATTCTTTTAAAGAGGGATTTTTGTATAGTAGAGTACGACTTAAACAAGGACAGGAATGTCGATGAAAAAGTCTAGAAAGCACCATATCTGCAGCGACGTGGGGACGGCAACACCCGACGTCGCGCGACCAGCGTTTCAGCTCACAAAGCAACTCTCGTCGCGCAAAAACGTGGATTTGTTTCACAGCATGACGGTATGTCTGGGACGCTAGCGTCGGAGCGTCCGCACACGCCCGCGTCTATCGTTGAAAAAGTTTAAAAAAGACGCGAGACGAGGTTCCCACGACGACGAGGCGCGGAACGCGAGACGGCGGCAAAACCATGCAAGGCCAGATGGATACAGGGTACTTTGTGTCGGGCGGCCCCTTGCGCCACCTAGCTCACGCATGCTCAATTACGTTCTTAGTTTAGTCTCGGTTTTGAAAGGCGACCGAAATTGGTCCTTTAGCGCAGGCTTGGCGCAGATTACCCATATTTTGGCTAAATGTAGCAGGATGTAGCAGGGTTAGCCCCTTGGCGCAGTTTGGCGCAATTGGCGCAGCAATCACATCACTGATAGTCCGCGAACTGATGATGCGCTGTTCAAGCTGAAAGTCTTCCTGAAGATGAGCTCTCTTCGTACTCGCTTCCCTCTCATCACTGCTCCTCCTCTTCTGCCTCTCGGATTGCTTTTCGACCTCTAGGATTTCCGCGTAAACTTTATGAAACTTCACAGCTTGCGGCAAGTCTGCCGCGAGAAGCACCTTCGTGATATCACTGCCAAATCGCTTGAGGTAGCTCTTGACTTTGCCAATACCGTCTTCAAAGCGCAATCACGATCTGGCAGTTCGTATCTTGCTCCATCGTACGCCTTACTGCTCGCTTGCCTTTATTCCCAAGTTTTGCTCCACTACTAGCTGAAGTGACTCCAGGACTTCAGAAAAAGCACGGTGAGCATGCAGCAACAGCAGCTAATGTTGGCAGCAGGTGTTGCGACAGCAACCTTCAGATACAGATCCACTGGCGTCCCATTCGGGTGAGAAGTTCCGGTGTCGGTGTTGCCAACAGAAACTGTGAGACTGCTAATTTCAATGTGGTTTGTTTATAATTTGTTTGGGCACATGTTGGCGCAATTTTGTTCTTATTTATACTTTTGTATCAATGGGATGCATGAAAAGTCATTAGGCACACAGTGGCACAATTGGCGCAGCAGTTCTATCCCTGCTATTGTCTGCTCGCTGCACCTATTGGAAGATTGCGGCACAGGTCACATTTATTGCTATCTCTGTTGTCTGCGAACACATCCGCCATTGACTTTGGCAAGTTTGTCGGTCTTGACTTGTACGGAAAAAGTCGTCCAAGCTAGAATCCCTGCCGACTTTTACGAAAAAATTGACAGGGTTTTTTCTACCGAAAAATAAACTAAGCATCGCCAAACTCTCATTCTCCGCTCAATGGTAGCACTAGAGGCCTGAACCAGATGACAAAGTTCGGCACAAATTGATGTTTTATTGAAAAAGTTCTTATTTTTTGAAAATTTCATTGGGAAAACGAGGCACATTTTCGGTTTCTGGCACTATAGAGCTACATGCATTCGAGGTCTATCGGCCAATATTTTCCCATTAAAAGTTTCAGAAAATCACATAACTTCTGAATAAAATATCGGTTCGTGCTGAAACTTTGGCAACTGGTTCGGACCGCTAGTGCTAACTTCGGGCGGAAAACGAGCGTTCGCCGATGCCTAGTTCATTTTTGCGGAGAAAAAAACAATTTTACTTGTTTTCTTAATTTTAAAATCTCGCAACGTAAAATTGACCACCTCGGTGCACATTCGGTGAAAGTTCGAGCTTCCCAGGTGCAGGCGCCGACTTTTCCCGGCTCGTTTTAGAACGCAAGACTCGCTGTTGCCACCGTACATACAAGACTCCCATTCATTCAGCCTCCCACGTAAAACGTCTACGAACGTTTCAGCAAGATGTAGAAGCTCAGGAACGAAACGTATTCGGTTCAATGTGAAAAGAATTAACAATCGGAAGCATGAATCCACGCTCATCCTTGTTCCAACCACAGTTCAAACAGCAGTTGAAAAAAGAAAAAAACAAACAAAAAAAACCGGCACCACTCGGAAAAATCAGGCAATTTTCATGTCACATTTGCCGAAAGCATACGGCGAGGTCACACGCAAAAGAGAGGTTTTGAAGGACCCAAAGTGAAGCGACTGAACGCTCACATTCACAACTTTCACGCAGTGACGAAACAAACAAAAAGACGTGTAGCTAACTGCGCGGTGACATTTTAAGAAGGCCTAGAGACCTCGAAGGCGGCCGCAGTTCCGCCGATGAGTACATTATGGCTAAATATTAAAATACATATTGTATATTGAATAATACGAGTTCGTAAACCTACAAGCGCATTGGAAGTCCGGCGTAGAATGATTGCAGTCAAGTTGATATTCAGTCGCAGCTCAAACATGGTTAGGCTTAGCAACGGCGTTGGAACGTTCGAACGATCGAAAACCGAGCCGGGACGTTTCGTTCAGACAGTCCACTTTTAACGCTCCGAGATTGGTAAAAAACTGGGGAGCAAACTACCACAGTTTCAGGCGCAAACAATCATCAATGAGATGACGTCGGTGCAGCTATCACGCCGGCAGAATACCGGCTCGGAAACACAATGTGCGCTGTCGTCGCCATCTTTAGACGCGCTGACTGGGCCTTACCGGCGATTACGATTTTCATGTCTTTTTTCGCGACGAACTCGCGGCCCCTCGCGCTGTAGTAAGTCTGTGACATTGCGCGACTGTTTTGAGTCAAGCAACGGTAGAGTAAAAGCTTTTCTTACCCATACTGTGCATTTCCTGTCGTGAAGCCGAAATAATTGTTCGCAGCCATTGCGTCCCAAGGCTGAGAGAGAAGCCGAAAGAACACTTGTGCGCCTGCGCACGCTATTGCACGGTAGAACAGCTAGAACACTACTGCTTCTGCGCGTGCCGGAGTTGCTCGAGTCTAACGCATGAAGGCGCCACGCTTCAGACGGTTGGCAGCGAGTCGGTCGCTTTGTCGGGGGCGGCGTCGTCGGGCGGCACCGTTGGGCGGCACTACGGCGGCACGGCGCCGGATATTGGTCGGTGGCGTCGAGAGGGACAGCGGCGTCCGATATGGCCCGTAATTCAAAATGACGCAAACGCCTTTTTTTTTCTTTTTTTTAATTGAATAGTGGGGAAACGAAGGACAGGACAACACGAGTCTTTATTGGAGATTCATGTAGTCCTGTCCTCCTGTTTCCACAATCTCTCCAGGGTTAAAAAATGTGAGTTCTTGACCACCCATGCAAAGGCAAAAAGACATTTTTTTTTTAAACAGCCTAGATGGAAAAAGTACGATATAAAACGAATTTACAAAGAAGAAAGAACATTTTTAGAGCTATATTTACGGCGCAGAACAAATTTGTAGTTGGCGCCCGCGGGTGCCGCCGCTAGTCACGTGATAGACCTGTGCGCCGCCGCACGCTGAGCGTTCTGCGCCGCCACTTCAACGCGTTTCTTCTCCACGCCGCCGCCACCTGTTTTGCTCCCGCCGCCCTGCGCCGCCGCCGGAATCCCCAGAGCCAGCACGCCGCCGCCGCCGCCGCACAATAAATCCGGCGCGCCGCCGACGTCGCCATTTTTTTTTTTAGGGGGGGGGGGGGGGGGGGGTATTGGTGTTTTTTTTTCTGCTTCTATATGAGTTTTACCTACTATATTATGCATAAAAAAATAATAAATTGTTTTGCCTTTCATTTTTACTCCTGTAAATATATTAATAAATGTAGTTCCATAAAAAACGGAGACACAGAACGATAAAAAAAAAAAACGGACAAAACAACGAGTCTCAAACACCGTTTGTAGTTTATTTGAACAACGAACGTTGTTACATATACCTCAAAACCCTCACCACCGAAAAAGAAACACCTCCCCTTCACGAGGTCACCGAGAGCCGGACACTCATAGCATCCTCGATCATCCGCACCGGTGCGCACCGGGGCACTGAGGTGCGCCCCTTCATCTTCGATCAAGTGCACCGGTGCGCACCGTACGTCCTCGATCAACGAAGCGCACCCTCCCGGTGCGGCTTTTCGTTGCCCCAACGTGCACCAAGAAAATCGGCGGTGCGCCGGGGGGCAGTCCCATCAGGCATTGCGGCCAGGAGCGGGAATCGAGAAGATGGCGGGAGTAGCAGACGCGCAGACTATCGAGATGGCGATCTTGCAAAAACGAACACGCCTTGCAGCTGCACTATACTTCGTTTCAGCTTCGGTCCGAGCGCGGCCGATGTTACGAGCCGAAGGGCGAATCAAACAGCGCAAAAAGCGCAGCGGCCGGCGGAGGAGCACGCGCAGAGAGACGGCGAATACCGGCTGGTCCTATCAGCTGCAGGGAGCACGCCATGACGTTGTGCCTCTTTCGCTGTTTGATTGGCCCTTCGGCTCATAACATCGGCCGCGCTCGGACCGAAGCTGAAACGAAGTATAGATGATTTCCTCGGGTCTTCTGACGGCGAGACGACGAGCTTCTCACCATCGCCGCGATTACTGGCGATTGCAGCGGTGGCAAGGAGCGCCCGAAAAGCACGAACTTCGTGGAAAGCGGCGCGAGGCGTTTCGATGACAGCGAGGTACGGCTATTATCTGGTGTTTCGTTTTTTTGAACTAATAATGATGGCCAACATATACATGTGGAATTGTCACCCGCTTCGTGACCCCATCGACAATCACGTCCACGATGTTTATTTCTGTGGGACCGTCAAATCCGCGAGTAAAAAAATAAAAGAAATTGACAGCAGACGGGCACCGTGCGCTGACCTACGCAAAATAAACGAACAAAACGCGAAGTGACGCAAGGTGGAGCTCGCCGCGGTGCACCGGCGCGGCGCAGTTTGTCCTCGATGTTGCACCGACATCGCGCTGCACGACCGAGGAGCGCTGTGCACTGCGCTGGTTTCAGGGCGATTCCGGTGCGAGTTGATCGAAGATGCTATCAGACATTTCTAAATGATTCACACCAACCAGCCACCCTGATGACCTCCCTTGAGGGCTGACCAGCCACATCCGATAACAGGAAACTCCAGCTCCAGCACAGCCCTTACAATTCTTAGAAAACACACAAAAAACATTCCATATCACTGTCCAGCGCCAAGGACGGTGTGCTTACTCAATTACCAGAGGTCAAAATACGCACGGTCTTTCTCAGAACTCTCCTACCATTGCTGATTGTTGGGCGAGTTGGTATTGTGCGTGAGAAAACATGATCGCGCTTTAAGACA